TGATTGTAAATTTCTTTATGTGGCATTTATTTTCTTAGGTTTTTCACGTAAAAAAATAATAGTAATAATCTTGTCGGAATTTTACATTATTTACTGATTTATGTGTCTCTAATTGCAATTGAGATACAAAACAAACTAAAAAACTGGATTTAAAATAAACATTAAATGAATATTGAAAAGTTAGGTTGTTGCAATTTGATATCCATAAAGCTTATCCACTTGCTCGGATTTAATTAATAATCATGGACTCGAATATATAACATTGAAGATAAATTAACTTCTTGAATGAAATAGGGATATTTCATGAATATATATATATATATATATATATATATATATATATGAAGAATAATGATGAAAAACCTTAACTAGACTGGGGAGAAAAAAATGGTTGGCTAAAAGTTAAAAAAAGGAATTGTTTTTTGAGACAAGTCATGCATAATATTTAGGGAAATAAAAAAATAATTAAAAAAACAAACATTTGTTGTTTGGGAACAATTTCCAAAAAAAAAAAAATAAATAAAAATAAAAACTATATGAAATCATTAGCATGAGTTATGGAATTTAAGCAAACATTTACAAAAACAATTCAAAGAGCAAAAACACAACGGCAAAGAAAAGAACAATACTATGAAAGCTCAAATGTAAAATTCTAAAGCATTTAAAATCAAATGCAATGAGTCACCAAAAAGGCATCAAATACAGGAGGACGTTTAGAACACAAGAAATATTACTACGATTTATTAGGGATGGTTTTAATAGTTTTGATTTATATTTTCTCACATAAGCAAACTGCCTTTCTTCTCTCCGAGGGCAACAATCTTTCCACCTGATTTGCCTTCAATTATTTTTCTCTTGTACTCTGTATACTAATTGTGACATAGCACTCTGTTGTTAGATTGGTAAGTATTTTTTTTGTTTTACTCAGAACTCTGGTTGTAGTATGTGCCAAATGCCTTGATTCGTTTGTCTACAAATCATAAGATGGTAATGTTGCTATAACATTAATTACTCTTGTTGTAGTAATGATATTGTATCACAAACTTATTAAATACGTTAGTAATAGAACACACTAAAAATAAAATATTTTTATTTATATAACATGATATAATTAATTGATAACACAGCTAACGAAGTATTAATGTACATAAAAATATTTATGTAATGTATCACATATATTGGGTAGGGTGAGTTGATATATATATATATATATATATATATATATATATATAAGGCTCAATAGGTGGTGGTTTTTTTTTTTTTTTTTTTCGCTAGCAGACTCTAATAGTAAAAGGTAGAGGCCAGATAAAAAAAGGGGATTTGTCAGGATTTTAAAAAGGGTAGATTATGTCTTTAACTGTCTACCTCCAGTGGCGGAGCAACACTAGACCCAGTGGGGGCATTACTAGTAATTTTCAAACTATAATTTTGATAATTCTAAAATGACCACACTGAACCCTAAAAATGCTACAAAAGCTTTTTAAAAACTTTCAAAATTCAAAGATACTCATTTAACTCACTGGTCACTACCCAACAAAATTTTCAAAAACAAGACCTAACTTTTTCCTCCTCAAATGAGTCTCACAAATTTTTTTAAAATAACATTAAAAAAAAATCCTTCGTTTTGTATTTATATTGCTTCAAATTTTCTTACCACGTTATTATTTATGATTGTCCACTCTGAAGTGAATTCCTGTCTTAGCTCTTCACGCGGAGTTGACTCTCTAGTTACGAATAAAATGCACATTACAAATCAACTTTTATTTGGAATAAATGAATGAAATATTTACAATAATTTAGTATTATAGAATTATCAAACAGTTCCTATTTTCAACTCTTACAATGTTTTGAATAAAGGTCAAACTTTCAGAGTTTAGAATAATACAAACCTCATAATGTTATGCTAGAATGGGTCAGAAAGTAAATTGATCACCACACTGGTATCTCATTTCAGTTTTTAGAATAATTCAATAATATCATGTGAGAATGTATCAGAAAGTAAGTTTTTTTTTTTTTTTTTTTGGGAAAATAAAGCAACCAAATATATATATAAAAGGATAATTACAACCAGACCTTAGGCCGAAAACCAACCCAAATAAAATGGGATACAAGCCCAACTAGGGCAAACAGCCCATGGTATTCAGCAACCAATCTTATCCCAACTTATTCAGAAAGTAAGTTGATCACATGCACCAACTGATATCTAATTTTAGTTTTCATGTTTAGTATCAGTGTGTTTAGCTGATTAAACTAATTTATAGTTTCCTCTAATATCTCAATTAAATATTGTTGCCCTTAACATTTTTTTTGGGTACTCTGATAAGAAACATATTTCTAAAGATACTATTCTCCAAAATTATTTGAAAGCAAATCATTCATTTATATCATTGATTTCAATGCGAGGTAAATGATGTGTCATGCCAGAGTTATTCATCTAAAAAAAATTGAATGAATGATAGGACTACAGAAAAATGTTTTGTTTATGAAGGGTGACCAAAAAGAAATTTAACCAAAAAAAAAAAAAAACATATACCTATATGTTTGTGTCACAGGTGTTCTATAGTTTGGACGGTTTTGATTTATGATTTTCTCATCTCTGGTTAACAACCTTGCCTCTTGATTGTGCCTAAAATTATTTTTCTCTTCTACTCTGAATACAGCAGTAAAACATGCAGAATTGTGATATAGCACTGTTCTAGGTTTGTGAGTCATGCATTAGCAAATTCTTACTCAGAACTCTTGTTGTAGTATGTGTAAAATGTCTTCATTCTTTTGTCTACAAATCATAAGAAGATAATGGAGATGAAGATTTTCTTCAATAAAAATTTCTCAACCTCAGTCATATATATAGGGGTAAGGTGAGTTGAGATCTGGATATATGATTTTAAAAGGCTCAAAATATTATTTTAATTTTTCAATATTTGGATTTTGATCCATATAGTGTTCAAAAGTGTAATCCAATAAGATTACATAAATCCATTTCTGTCATTTTTAAAAATATCTTATGTGTTTACCTCAATCATGTATTAAAAAAATTTAGAACCTTTTTTTTCTTTGAAATTCAAAATAGCTCGATCAGATACTCATCCACCAAAACTTGGAATATAACTCTCAATCAAAAGCTCAAATAGTTGCTCGCTTAATCAATCGAAGCGACGGACATTGGCTTGGTGCAGAAACCTACTTTTAAAAACACTCTCAAAGCATACTTGTAAAAGGATCACCTCAAATAGTGCCGTACTCACGCTCCACTATGTGTAACTTAAATTTGGTGTGAATTTCTGACAAAAGGAACCGAAAAATTCCCTTCTCAAGTGAAATTTTGGTTGACCAGATTGTAAACTTCTTTATGAAGGTGGATTGTTCGTGGCTAAACGGAGGTCTGGGGCATTTCTTTTCTTAGGTTTTCCACGTAAAAAAATAATAGTACTCATCTTGTGGCAATTTTACATTATTTACTGATTTTTGTGTCCGTAATTGCAATTGAGATACATAACAAACTGGAAAAACTGGATTTAAAGTAAACATCAAATGAATGTTGAAAAGTTAGGTAGTTGCAAACCGATATCCATAAAGGTTATCCACCTGCTCAGATTTAATTAATAATCATGGACTCGAATATATAACATTGAAGATAAATTAACTCTTGAATGAAATAGGGATATTTCATGAATATATATTTATTGAAGAATGATGATGAAAAACTTAGCTAGACTTGAGAGAAAAAAATGGTTGGCTAAAAGTTCAAAAAACGAATTTTTGTTGTCATGCATAATATTTAGGGAAATTAAAATATATATATATATATATTTGTTGTTTGGGAACAATTTTCGGAAAAAAAAAAAAAAAAAAAAACTACTTGAAATCATTAGCATGAGTTATGGAATTTAAGCAAACATTTACAAAAAATTCAAAGAGCAAAAACACAACGGCAAAGAAAAGAAGAATACTAAGAAAGCTCAAATGTAAAATTCTAAAGCATTTAAAATCAAATGCAAGGAGTGACCAAAAAAGCATCAAATACAGGAGGACGTTTAAAACACAAGAAATACTACAATTTATAAAGACAGAGAACCGATGACAATCAGATTCGCGCTTCTTTTCATTATCTTAAGGCTCCCTTAAAGTTAAACCTTCCCTAGGTCTTACGTTTTTCTTACATTAAACAAAAGGAATAGACTGCCATCCTAAATTCACCATGGCAAACTGGCTTGCCTACCCAAATCACAAAACCCTACCATGCATAGACATATAAGAAGAGTTTCCCTTTAAAAGAGGATGCATTCGATGTATGTATGTTAAGATTAAAATCCTCTGTTGCGCTATCGTGCATTTGTCTGAGCTATTGAAGAGAATGTCGGGATGCACGTTAGGAAAATGTTGGGACGTTTGGCCTTGCATCCCAACATTTTTCTCACCGGCTACGACAGCTGCACTCAACTTTTCAAAAATTGCATTTTTTGTGTGCATAATTCTCTAAAATTTTAAATTTCCCCCCTCAATTTTAAAAATTTTCATTTTGTATGTTTAAATCTTTAAAAAATAAAAAATTCGCCCCCTAAACTTTAAAAAGTTTCATTTTTGTATTTATAATTTTGTAAAATTTTTAAATTACCTTGCTTTAAAATTTTTTACTACATTTTGCCCCCAAACATAATTTCTGGCTTCATCCCTGAATACACTGTAGCCTAAGAGAGGATTTTGAACCATGTATGTTGACCCCACTGGTAGTTGAGTTAGCATAAGAACTCTGGGCGCCACCCGAAGATGTTGAGTTCAACTCTAGGTGGTAAGTCTCTACCCTAGGCTTGCTTGATACCCGTAGTTTGAGGGAATTAATTGTAGTATCCAAAAGGAAAAGTCCACCCCCAAAAGGCAGGAACACACTCCATTACTTGAGACAAAAGTGTGCATATGGAAAGAGAAACACACAATAAGTCAAACTACATTCAGGCTCACTAAGTTGGAGGAAAATTCTCCAACTTAGGCACCTAGCCAGAATGCTCATCAAGCATAGGATTGGCAATGGATCCCAAACTTCATTCTGGTGGGACAATTGGACAACAATAGGGCCTCTCAACTTTAGATTTCCACACACTCTTCTAACTGAGGCTGGGTTTAATGATGGAACCACTGCCAATTCCTTTATTGTTGATAATACATGGTCTTTCCCACTTTCTTTAACCTCTGCCATACCCGAATTGCTCTCCTTACCACCACCATGCCCCTCTAGAAATGACTCAAAGAAGTGGATTGCATCTCCAAATGGGCAGTATTCTTTCAAGCATACACTACAGCACCTTATAGGGGATCTCTCATCAGTACAGTGGCACAATTTGGTGTGGGATTCTCCAATCATACCAAGAATGAGATTTAACCTTTGGATGGCGGTTCAATCAAGGTTGCCTACCCTGGACAACAAAGCTATGGCCAGACATCAAAACATTTGTGCTCTTTGCAACAATTCAACTGAATCTCATGATCATTTGTTTTTCAACTGCTCCTTTATCTCACCAATTTGGAGGTTCATCACTTACAAATGTCAATTGGTCATCCCAACGGCAAATTGGGAAGTGCTTGTTCTACAGATCAGCAACAATTGGAAGTCAAACACCCCTTCAAACATGCTTCGAAAATTGGCTCTCTCCTCAGTTGTGTATCATACCTGGGAAGAGAGAAATGCTAGGATTTACAAAGGAGAAAAGTCATCTCAACGAGTTGTCTGCTCCAAAATCTGTTCCACCATCTCTGCCATTCTCAAATTAAGGGTTCTTAGAAATTGCTCAACAACTTCAAAGATCCTCAAGGACTGGAATCTCTCCCCATCATGTTGTCGTCCTCCCCTCCGGCCGCCTCCAAGACTGCGGGATTAGCTTCCTTCGCACAGATGTGCAGCTCCAATGCCATTACCGGAATGCTCTCTAACTACCATTAACGGTTTGGTACTGCGACTGGTTGTTAGCTTGTTCTCTCAATTGGATTTGGTTTGGGCTAGTCCCTTGTTGTATTTGCCTTTGGGCCTATTGTCTCTCACTTGTAATGGCCGAAGGCCCACTATTGTAAATATTATTTTTAATTTATGACAGTAGCTTAAAATTTCGAAAAAAAAAAAAAAAAAAAAAAAAATCTATGACACACAAAGTATGTACATGCAGGGGCTGAACCAAGATCATGAGGTTGGGGGCGCCAAAATGATAAACAACATTACCTAGTTAGAACATTTGAAAAAAAAAAAATTAATCGTAGGTAAAAAAATTTACTATTTATTATATTCATACAAAAATATATCTATCTAAACTTTTCCCAATTTATTTAAATAAAAAAACTAGTTATTTAAAGAAATTTATTATTAAAAAATTCAATTAAATAACTCTCTTTATTTACCGAAAAGAAAAAAAAAACAAAATTAACTTCTTTTTTTAAAAAAAAAAAAAAAAAAGTAACAATTGAAAATCTAACAAAACAATAACAATGATAAAAATTAAAAAAAAAATAAATAAATAAAAAAAAACACAAACAAATTAATAAATTAAGAATTTAGATTCTTAAATCATCGATTTTTGTTGATATTCAAAACTTGAAATGAAAATTTTGTTCTAGATTTTGTAAAAATTAATTTCTTATAGAATTCTTATAAAAGCATTCCAATAAAAATAAATAAAATGAAAAAAAAAAAAAAAAAGTAATGGAAAGAATCATGTATGAGATGGAATTTTAGGATAATAAGATTATGTAAAAAATCTTGCTTGAGTTGGAATGATTTTAAGATAGTCACATTAGTGAAAGAACGGTATTTGAGTTGAAATTTTAAGATAGCTACATTAAATTTTTATATGAATCAGTTTTTATCGGGGATCTATAGTCATCAATTAAATCACTTTCTTTTAGTTTATATATAAACTATCTTTTGTTAAATGCTAATTAAAAGAAAAAAAAATTTCTTAGGGTGGCCATGTATAGATTTTATACCATATATGCTATACTATTTTATTTTTACCTATACTAAAAAAAATTTCAAAAGATTAGGGGGGCCATGGCCCCCACCAGCCCCCCCTTCCCTCCACCCTTGTGTACATGTGAGCATGGTGGCGGTGGTAGTGGTGGTGTGTGTGAATGTAACAAGGGAAGAGATACAGATTTAGGAATCCAGAAAAAGAATTAAGCTCAAAAACCTAGCATCTTACACATTCTATGCATCGACTACACTGCGCAATAATAATTTTCAGGACGATTCATTTTTATTAGTTGAATCATATTTAAATCGTAGTCGACTATGATATAGCCTGTTGACCTTAAGGATTTCATCCAATGACAATCTAGGTGTTTTGATGATAACAAACCATTAATGGTGTTTAAGGACTAATGTTTACATTGAGTGTTATATAGATTATTCACATTCAAAGAATGACCTCAATGAAGCACTAAAGATCATTCAAAGTATTCCATTATTCAAGATCACATCAAGGAAAGAAATGGATACAATGAAGACCTGAAGTTGCAAGGAACAAAATGCAATGTCCAAAGATAGCTTGAACTTCAATGAGCAAGAAAGCAACTCAAAGGAAGAAAGAAAGCAATACTACCTCAAGCCTAAACGATCATGGACAATGCATGAAGAAAAGGGGTAGATAGGATGGTGAGTGTTTTGGATTCAATGTCAAAGTATTTATGAATCCATTTGAAGCTCATCTCTATAGGATCATGCATATTATCATCATTCACATATTCCTATATCCTTAGTAATAGACTTTGCACTTCATTCATAGATATTGTCATATGAAGTCTTTGCTAAGAAAGGGTTAGTTCAAGCTTGTATAAGCTTTGAAAGAACTCACAACTTAAGCTAGAAATGCTAGGACCATGCACATTAATCATAAGATTTACTTTGGTGTCTAGAAAGAAAAGGAAAAGGCATTGAACTTAATATTTCATCTTTAAAGCCTTTGTTGCCATAATTTAGTAAATGACTCTAGGACACAATGCACTTGAAATTTATCATCTCCATATGTCCCTAGACTCTTAGAAATAGGTCTTGAACAAAATTGAATCATTCATCAAAGTCCTAGGTGCTAGAAAGATGGATATCTCAAAAGAAGCTATTTTCAGCCTAGAAAATTTCAGACCAGCTTGCACTAAAACTGCTATAACTATTTGTGTAGTTGGAATTTTTACACAAGGTCAGTGGCATTGGAAAGCTGACTTCGAGCCCTTGAGTTTAGACTCAAATTTCACCTAAATTGGATTAAAAATGACTGAGATATGAGCTTCACAAAATACATAATTCTGCTCTGCGAAAATTCTGACCAGGTTGCACTTAAATAGCCATAACTTCTTCTGTGTTTGGAATTTTTGAGCAAGGCCAGTGGATTTAGAAAGCTGACTTCAAGGCAATAAATTTAGACTTAAATTTCACCTCATTTGGAGTTTCATGGACTGAGTTATGTCCATTTGAAGTCATGCCATTTTCTGTCAAAATCCAAAACAAGGTGTTGCCTCCATGAAAACTAAAGCAAGCACATTTTAAATTGGAGCCGCCTCCCATTTTTATTGGAGCCGCCTCCCAATTATTGGAGCCGCCTCCCATTTATTGGAGCCGCCTCTCATTTTTATAGGAGCCGCCTCTTTGCACTCCAGTAGCCAAAACTTATGTCGTAGAATGCATTTCATGGATTGGAGCCGCCTCCCAGTTATTAGAGCCGCCTCCCATTTATTGGAGCCTCCTCCAATATTTTGTAGAGCCGGCTCTTCTAAGATATTTGAATCTACAACGGCACTTTTCTGCATTTAAGTCTTCCAACTACTTCTAACAGACATATTAAGCTACGGCTGTCTATATAAGGAAGGCTCATTTTGCTGAAGCATACAGACCACCATTTTTGAGAGACATAATATTACATTTCAAGAGATCTTTTGTTCTCTCATCTTCTCTTCTCTCTCATTTCACTCTTATTCTATTTTGAGAGATTTAATTAAGCATTAAAAGGGCTTTTGCTCTTGCTTTAATCTTCATAGAGTTTTTTGCTCTATTATTCACTTGAGAGATTATAAAAGCTTACATTCTTCACTTATATCATCTTCTCTCATTCATATCATTTATAGAGTTTGAGTTTCACTTATATTCATATATACTCTAGTTGAGAGCTAAAGTTTGTACATCAATCTTTGAGAGATTTTTCTTGTAAGCTTGCACTTGTATATCTATCTTGAGAGAGATTTAATCTTGTATTTCAATTACAATCTTTTCTACAAACTTGTAAGGGTTGGTGTGACCCAAAAGAAGCCTAGGAGAAGGGTGTTCTCCTAGCAAGGAAAAGAAGCAAGGTCTTGCTTCATGTAAAGGTTTGCTCTCCACCCGCAAGGAGAAGCTATATTGGATTGGGAAGTCTCAAGAGGGATCTTGAGCCGAGGAGTAGGAGTTTCCGAACCTCGCAAAAATCGCCGTGTTGTTGTTTGCAATTTCTCTTCCCTTATCTCTCTTATAATTATGCTTTAATTGCTTATTCCATATCTTGATCTCATATCTTGATTATTGCATAATTACTTAAATTGTTAAATAGAAATTGTATTTCTATATATTGCGAAAATTATCTATTGTTTGGCATTGACTCTATTCACCCCCCCTCTAGAGTCAATTCTTGGGCAACAATTGGTATCAGAGCCTAACTCTAATTAATGGACTTAATCGTCTTAGAGTACGATCATGGCCAACAATGGTAGTATCACCCACTTAGAAGGACAACCCAATGATCTACCTCCTTGTTTTGATGGAAATGATTATATCTATTGGAAAATTAGAATGAAAGCCTTTCTAAGAAGTATTGATATTGATTTATGGAAAGTTATTGAAATTGGTGATCATATCCCAACCAAAGTTATTGAAGGGAATGAAAATCCTAAATCAAAAAGTGAATGGGATGAAAATGATCATAGATTAGTTCAATGTAATGCTTTAGCCACATGTTATCTTTATTGTGCATTAATCAAAAATGAGTTCAACAAGATTATCTTTTGTAAAACGGCTAAAGAAATTTGGAACTCACTTGAATTAGCATATGGAGGATCAATTCGTGGTAAGGAATCATATATGCCTATGCTTATTGAAAAAGACGTGTCTTCCATCATAAATGAAAATGAATCAAGTAGTGAGATGCATTCTAGTTCTACTAACATTACTAATCATTTGAACTTTCTTAGTAGAACTTACTCTTATTCCTATAGTGAAGAAAATGAAGCAATGCAAAAGAAGAGTATAGACCTCCAAGCTTCTAGCAAAGAAGTAAGTTGCATAAAAGAGGTGGTTAATCTTTGTCTCATGGCCGACAAAGATGAGGTAAATTCTAACCATGATGATTTTGATGTAAATATTTCCTATAATGAGTTAGTGGATGAGCACAATGAATTACTTGATGCATTTAAAGAATTACAAGGTGTGTTAGAAAACATGCTTGTGAAATGTGCTTCCTTTAAAAAGGAAAACCATGATCTCCTTCAAAGACATGAAAAAGTTCAAATGGAAAATGACTTTTTGAAAAAGGAAAATCATCATCTTGTGCAAAAATTAGAAAAGATTCAATTTGAAAATGAGTCATTGAAAAATGAAATGAAATGTGTATTTTCTAAAGAATCTTCATCAATTGATCTTATTCCTGAAAATGAGTCTTTAAAGAAAATAATTCATGATCAAAATGACATGTTAGCAAAGCTTACCAAAGGAAAAGAGAATTTGAGTACTATACTTAGAAATCAAAGAGATGTCTTTTTTAAAAATGAGATACAATATAATCCTCACACTAAAGATGCATGTTTGTTAAGAATAAAAAGGCCTTTGTATGATCATTTTGTCAAGAGTGGTCCCCAAACCTCTAAATGCAAT